ACTACTTTAAAAAGCACGAATAACCTCAAGAATATTTTTGGAATTTTCTGAGGACAAAATTTACCCCTCCATATTTAAAGTTATTGATTAAAAATGAGGGAAAATAGGGTAATTGGTAATTGATATTAAATGAATTGAAAAGAGGTAATTGATATTAAATAAGTGTTTTTATTTACATGGTGGTAAGAAATTAAACCATTTTGGGCCAAATGGGCCAATCCATGTTGCCACAATTAAATAATAAAATCCAAATATAGATAAAATACAAAAAATATAGAAATTATAAAAATTTGGAAACATTTTTAACATCATATATTCAACATATTAAATAATAATAAGTACGATAAATAAGAAGTGTTTTTATTAATGATGAAAATTGAATGTAAAATATAAAACCAATTGGAAATAAAACTAATTTTCTATTCTCTCTCATTACATCTCATATCTAAGGTATATTCTCTCATTAAATCCTATATTTAAGACATATTTTTCAAATTATTAAATTCTACAAATTAAATCCACAATATTAATTTTAATGGTATAAAAATAAAAATTTCCAAAAGTAATTTGAAAACAAAACATTTTCTTCCTTCCCAATGGTGGGTAAGAAATTCAACCATTTGGAGTCAAATGGGTTAATAAACAATGTCATAATTAAATAACAAAAAAAATAAAAAATAATTAGGTATATCTATAATATTGTATATGCATTATACTAAACAAGAATAAGTATGAAATGTAAGAAATATTTTTATTAATGATAAAAATGGAATGTCAAATTTAAAATCAACCTAGAAATGAAATGATATCATAGTCAAATAATAATTTTTTAAAAATAGAAAATACAAAGAATCTCAAAAATAAAAAACAGAGAAAATTTTGAACACATATCTAATTTTATATATTTATAAAAAATAAAATATTGGGTACATCTCTAATATTATACATTCATTATATTGAACAAAAATAAGTATTGTACATAAGAAATAACCTGTGACCAGTGATGGAAATTTTATACAAAATTTAATGTCAACATACAAATCGAACAATTTTCCTTTTTGGGTGGTGGGTTAGTGGTTTAGATCAAATGGATTAATCAATTATATGATAGTTAAATCATAAATCTTTAAAAAATACAAAAGTATGTGTAATCAAAAGAATATATAAAATTATATATTAATTATATCAAACAAAAAATAGGTGTGATATGTATAAATTATTTATATAAGGTAGATGGAATATATATAATTTAAAATTGGTCTGAAAATAAAAATATTTTCTTATGTAGATGGTGGTTCACATAAGTGCATCATCAATTCATTACCTACCTTTTTGGAAATTAGTTTGGGCCATGTTAACACTCACCTTTATGAATCAGTAAAAGCATCTACTATTAATAGGAAAGTAGACTTAAAAAAATCATTAACTGAATTCCGTATATACAAAGCAGAAATGGCAAACAATTGGATTTGAAGTCTTGATATTTGCATATTTTATTTCATTCTATGCAAACAATCACCACCAAAAAGAAAACGATGAATGATTTGAACAATTTGAGTAGGGATGCCGTTAGGGGTGCAAATCAGGTGGGTTGGGCTGGGTTTATGGTCAATTCAGACCCGATCCTAAAATCTTGGCTTAAGGCCCAAGCCCATGGTTGAGCTCGATTTTCCCAACCCGAGCCCAGCCCGCATTGTATTTTGATGCACTCGGGTTGGGCAATAAACTCATTTTAAAATTATGCATATGTATGTATTTATGTAAATATGTATACATATATTTATGCAAAATATGTATATATGTATGTATGTATGTATGTATGTATGTATGTATGTATGTATGTATGTATGTATGTATGTATCTTTCAGGTTGGGCCAGTTTGGGCTTGGGTTGCGCTCGCCCAAGTTGCACCCCTAGATGTCGTTGATTTTAGTTTAGTACAAGTTGGGCTTGAGAAGTGTCTAACCAAAAACCACCCAACCCCATGAATAAAATGGGATGTCGAGATGCAAATGGATCAGGGCATAATCCAAATATGATCCGATGCTATAAACCATAGATCCGATTCGATCATATCTCATAAACATTGATTTGAATTTGAATTCGTTAAGGATGTCAAAAATTCAAATTTGGTCCAGTCCAATCTATTTTTTTAAATAATAATTTATTAAAAGAAAAAGAAACTATAACAATTTATATACAAAAAAAACAAAAAATACAAGTACTTTTTCAACTATATGTACATGTTTCTTTATAAAAATAAATAATATAAAAAATTTATAAAAATGGAACCCCTAATTCGAGTAGGGAGTAAGGCGAGATAAAGAGTTGTGGAAAGGTTGATAAAAAGGAAACACTTGAATATTATTACATGTAGGAGTTCAATACAGGTCCAACCCAAGCCTAGACCAACTCAACCCAAAATTTTACAGGGGTTGGACTTGGATTTTCAGTCCTCAGTCTAAGCTTGGCCTAAGATTTTGGACTTTTTTTTGGACTAGGCTCAATCCTTAGGTAGCTTGAGCCTAGTCCAACCTTGTCCCAACCCAAACCCAGCTTGGTCATATACATTTATGCATACATACATAAATATATATATATATATATACATATTTGCTTCCATATTTACATAGATACCTACATTTATACATACATATTTACATAAATGCATAGTATATCAAATTACAATGTGGAATGGGTTGGGATTGAAAAGATCAAACTTAACCTCGGCTTAGCCCTTATGCCCAAATCTTAGTATTTGGACTAGATTGACCATAAATCCAACCTAGCCYGCCCGACTTGCACCCCTAGCATTGATGCTAGGGGTGAGCAAATGGGTAGGTTCTACCCGAAACCGAATGGAACCGACCCTTAACTAACCTTGAACTGACCCTATCCGATTTATTACAAGGTAGGGTCTGGTTCCAAATTCTTCAAACCACCCCCACCTAGCCCAGTTCCTAGGTCTAGCTACCCGAACCAACTCGATGAACCAACCTTGGTGGAACCGACCTTGGAGCCAAACTTGCCTTTAAATAAACCTTAGAATGCTTTTGAGGATGTGAAGATTTGAACCCAAGCACTCATGGTTACAAAGGTCATGGTCTCACTTGACCATTGAGTTATTTTAAGTGATTTGATCATTTGTGTTGATATTAATATTTGAATGTTTATAATAAGTGATGATGGATAATTTGGTCCTCCAATGATATTACAATGCGGGGCATTGCAGAACAACAGAATGACACCTTGACACCAAGTAGACCCCAAGAGCACTTCAAACACTTCACAACTGCACCGGCGACCTCGACACCACCCCAATAGGCCGAATTGCAAACAACTAGGCAAGACCTCAGGTCGGCATAAGAGGCGACCTGCTTCCACCAATTTGACTTGTTTCCGGTTAGCAACCTATCTGACATGCTAAGTGACGTCACCCTTTAGCGAGCTATTGCCTCCGAATTCCCCGGGATCACGACGCTACGCAGGAAGAGTTGTTTATCACCCTGCCCACTTCGGGCGGGATTGGATAGACATTACCTTCTTACGCAGAGTCCACTTCCAAGCGTGAAACCACCTCCGAATTAGATAGGTCAGAGATCCCAGGCATGTTTCGTGAGACTCACGAAAGCTCGTCTATATAAGGGCCTCACCTCCAACCTCATAAGGTATGTGTGATTTAGCGCTCAAGCTCTCTAGCTCTCAAAAAAACTCCATTTCTCTATAAGCAACGAAGTATCCACACCGAGTAAAGTAACTCGAGTACTGTGATCCTCTCTCTTTCTTTACGGCTCGACCAAGCGACTTACATAATCCGACATCCAAGTTGTCCTCTAGCAAGGAGTTTCTAGATCGTGCACCATCGATAAGTAATGTAAAAGGTAATATTTACAAATTTTAAATTTGAATTATAAGTTATTAACCATTTAATGATAGTCTACATATTAACTTACTCAATTTAGTCAAAAAAATAATGTAAGTTTTAAACTATATATATTATATTTATTGAAAATCAAGTTTTTAAAGAACATGTTTCTTTTTTCAAGGGGGAATAAATGAACAAGTTTCATGGGTAGACCCTGGAACCGATCCCAAAACCACCAAGGCCAAAACCAACCCTAGAACTAACCTTTACAAGATAGATTCTGATTCCAAAAACCTTGAACCGACCCCTATAGAGTAGGTTCCAGGTTCTGCTATTGAATTGAACCGAACMGACTCATGCTCACCCCTAGTTGGTGCATGTGACAAATCCATCATGGGCTGACATTCTACAACCTAAGACAGGCCATTATTTGGGGCCAATCAAACCTGCCCTAATAAGGCCGGATGGGCCACGTAACCAAAACATAGTTAGACTGCATTTGCCATTTGAGGACTTATCTCCATTTTTTTAGTTAAAAAGGAAATAAATCCTTATTTAATAAGGAATGCCAAATGGAGCCTTAGTGTTAGAAGTTTTCCTAAAGACAGGGTAGGATCCATCTTAACTATTTCCATGGGTCCCATCACCATGAATAAGGGCGAAGCCCAAATAGTTGCATTCCAGAACGGTTCTGGCTTTCCAGGCTTCCAGCGTTGTTTTGTTGTTTATTTTTGTTGGTGGGCAACAGTTCTGATATGTATTATCTGGACACTTGATCGGTGTTTGCGTAGAGTAGCACGAAACGACTTCTATAATGATGGTTTCGTGCAAAAAATCTCCATTCTATTGGGCGTTTACTCGCATACAAACTTATCCACTCATGCATCGTTGTCACTTGTCAGGAATCCCCAAATGGTGATTTACTATGGGCGATTCGTGGTGGACTTAACAGCCACAGTTTTCCTGCTTTCATAAGACGCCACGTAAGCTCTCGAGCAATTTCTCTTGCTTTCTTGCCTCTTTAGCCACGTGGCAATATCACATTGCAAGAAAATAAAGCAGAGGCTACTGTACGAGTACGATCCTGTTGGACAGAAGGCACGCTCCTCTCTCTCTTTCTCTCTCTTTATATCATGGACACTCAGCATTCTCGCTTTCAGCCTTTCACCGTCTAGAGGTTTGTAAGTTGCAGAGGGAAACGAATCAGTGAGCTGGCTGTTGTTGTTCGTTGATCCGGTACCTGAGCGAGAGTCTTTAATGGCGACTTCAGAGAAGTCGGTTATGGTGGTCGGAATCGACGACAGTGAGCATAGCTACTATGCTCTTGAGTGGACTCTCGACCACTTCTTCGTCCCTTACGCCGCCAATACTCCTTTTAACCTCGTCATCGTTCACGCGAAACCCCCTCCTTCTACTGTTATCGGACTCGCCGGACCTGGTAAGGAGAGAAGCTCTAGACTCTGATTCTGATATCTCTGCTACTTTTCGTTTTACAAAGTTATTTTCCCTGTTAGGTTTTTGTAATGGCATTTGATTGCTTGATGTGGATACGCCAGTTTTTCTCCACTTGATGTGCGAGAGATTTTTTAGTGTCTTAATGTTCTTTTCCACCTTAATTGGCCAATTAAGTTGGATCCTGTCTTGATCCAAATTCTATTCCAAGGAATTGCAGGAGCTGCCGAAGTTTTGCCGTTCGTGGAGTCGGATCTGAAGAAAATGGCAGCCAGGGTTGCAGAAAAGGCAAAGGAAATTTGTTGCTCTAAATCGGTAATTTGGACTGTCCTGCCTAGGACTTGGAAATTTTTTATTAAGTTCTAGACATGACATGATTAGGTTTCCTTGTAAGCCACTGCATCACACTTGATCCGTTAATTATCAAAACATATGGATGCTTTTCTGTTGTCAAGCTCGGATTATCAGTAATTGAATCAAGTATGCGCTTCCAAGTTCTTCCTTTTCTGGAATCGATTTTTTTTGCCACAATTTTGATCCCATAAAAAAGATTTTGACAACAATATCTGTCCTCTTGCTTGTACAATGTTTTGAAAAGCAAACTAGATGGAAAACCGTTCTGACTGGCATTTCATGAATTCAGCAGTTGTTCTGTGCGGTTTGAGCACTTTGACTGCTGAATAAGGAACGAAAAGGGGAGTTGGAAAGATAGAAGGAAGCAAAACTGTAGAAGTCCAAAAAGATATTACATAACCAACGAAATATCCATTTTAACCATTTAGAAGCAATTATTTATAAATTTCAGCCAAGTTTTTGTCAAACCTTAACATAATTTTGTCATGATAAACTGCTTTTGTTTTGTTGACAAAAAAAAAATCCTACTCTCTGACGTCCTGTCCAACTGACATCCCTCCCTACCCAAGAAAAGAGAATATTGTAAAAGGTTAGTTCTATTTCATGCAACAGACTTGGATTTGCAAGGAGTAAACGTAGGAAACCTATGATACCCGGATACCTATACATGCCTAGTGTACCAAATACTTCATGGGTACTTCTAGATACACCCTATAGCATTTTTTTTTTTTGATAATTAGATACACCCTATAGCATGAACTTTAGAATATGTGAAGTGGCATGTTCTGACAAATTATACTATAGAAATATCTTTACATGTTAGACATTTAATTAAATTTGTCAAGGCATAAATCTTGAGGGATCGATGACATTGAACTACAAAGGCTAAATATATAAATGCATGTATTTCCTCCCTGGCTTCAGAACAATATTTCCTTGCACGTGTTCCTACTGCACAGTGTGCAGTTGTGGATTTACATCCTCCTATTGTGGGACAAGTCCCTCTCTAAACAAAGAAACAAACTAGATGCATCTTGCCACAGGCTTAATAAACCTGATGATATATTTTGTAGACTGTTTTCTTTGGTATGTATTTGAATTGAATTGAATTGAATTATCATTTTTCTCTCTTGTCAACTCATATGCACTGATTCTTTTTTCTTATTGTATTTTCCCGCCATTTTTTGTTTGGGAGGAGGGGTGGTTAGTCAACAGATTCTGAGCATTCTGGTTGATCTGCAGGTGGAACATGTAGTAGTGGAAGTTGTGGAAGGCGATGCTAGGAATGTTATTTGTGAGGCTGTAGAAAAACACCATGCATCTACGTTGGTTGTGGGCAGTCATGGCTATGGAGCTATAAAAAGGTATTGGTTGAAGCTTAGAAATACACATATGAGTTCAAACCATGGTTTTTGAACTGCGGTTGACCCGGATGGATCGTTCGGCCCAGGAACCATCCAGGCAACCGGTTCCGTTTTACCCCAAACCCAGTCCCTGGCCAAAAACTGTTGAATCGGTCAATGACCCGTTGATCTGGGCGGTCGAACCGTCAACCTGTTCAACGGTTTTGACAGTTTTTTAATTTTAATTTTTGTTGTCACAATGGGCTGTCCGTTCGAACCATCGACCCGGAAACCAGTGGCCAGAACGATTCCATTTCTGGGTCGTTTTTTAAAACCATGGTTCAAATTGCTTTAAATTACTTATAAATAAAGGAAAAATCTATGATATGGAAAGAGTTTTGACCAATCAAAACCCACCCATGAATTTTGATAAATAATAGACTTTTATCCAAGTAAATAAAATATCTTATAATAGACTTTTATCCAACTAAAAGGAAAAGCAACCTATATTTTACTTGGATCAGCAGAATATTAAGTCAATAAGACAACTCAGATTCTACTAATAGACTGTCTAATTCCTTACTATGATCAGAGAAAAATAAACCATACTATAAAACTGACATGCCCTGTCAACAGGATTTTGAGGAGCAAACAACCAAGAATTTCATTCTGAAGTTCTATTGTAACTTCTCTTGCAGGTAGAAGTTGTTTAATTGGTGTTTTTGTTGCATCTTTTACAACTGAAGTTGACAACAAAGTAAAACAGAGTAAATCCATCCGTTGAATTTCTTTACGTGCTTAAACCTTAGAAATAGAATAGTCTCCCTATCCAAAATTCAGGTTATGGCACCAACAAGGTATAAAATTCTTCATTTTGACACCACTTTCTATCCTCACCAACATCAACGCAATGAAGTGGAATGTGAAATCTTGACAAAATGCTATTTTTCTCAAGAGTGCTGATTTTTTCTTTATGAAAGTTTAAAATGCCGAGAATTTCAAAAAATCTTGTCATCAAAACAGAAGTAATGGAATTTTCAAAATTTACTTTCAAACAGATGACCCTACTAAATTCATTGTAGGGTTATATTCTTGGATCAATTGAAATGTTTGTACTCACAATAAAATCTTTATTTTATTGAATCTTACTGGGTATAAAATTAAATACACATTCAGATACAATGGAAAGAAAACCTTTATAGATATTGGAAACTTATCCAAAACCAATAAAGCAAGAAAAAACACTGGTCTATGTGGATGAGTTTGGAAACTCATCCAACAACCATTTGACTATCCCCTATTCTGAACTTTCTTTGGGGGCCATTACCATTTTTTAAAGAATGCAAAATTAGGACCATCCAGTTTGATGTATTTTAACATTTTGCTGTAATGCTCTCTCATTGAGTGGTGAATTCCAACAGTTTCCATTTGCGCATATACAAATCTTATTGGATAGATATTTTTAGTTGTCCACCCTTCTGTACACAAAATTTCCCCCCTGGCTACTGCCTCATACATCTCATGTATTAATCGATGCAAAATTAACTCATAAATGGATCCAATGATGCTGCAGGGCGGTGTTAGGCAGCGTGAGTGACTACTGCGCTCATCATGCTCATTGTACTGTGATGATTGTGAAGAAGCCCAAGATCAAGCACTAAGCCCTTTCTCTACTTTCTAATAAATAAGTGGTTGGATTCAAATGCATCATGTTTAGCTGAGATATTCAGCAAATGCCATTGGTGTTGTATCTTTAATATTTACATCCCATTCCTGGTTGTCGATTGCTTTGAAGTTAAATGAAATATTATTGGCTGATTGCACGTTGGATTACAGTTTATGGCTGTCTCTTCTTCTTCTTCTTCTTCTTCTTCTTCTTCTTCTTCTTCTTCTTCTTCTTGAGCAATTCAAGGTTTTAAAAACCGAATTGGACAACAAACCGGTCAGGGGTCCAATTCCTGGGTCGAATGGTCTGATCGTTCAAACCAAATGGATGGCCCATTCTAATAAAAATAAAATAAAAAATGGCAAAAATCATTGGACAATTCAAATGATTTGACTGTCTGGATCAATGGTTTGCTGACCAAATCAACAGTTTATGGCGAAATAATGGTTTTGGGGTAAAACAGAATCAGTCACCTGACCGATTCCCGGTTTTTTTAGTCTGACCGTCCGGTTTTGAAAACCATGGAGAAATTGGAATACATGGTCTCTTACAATCTGGAAAGTAACAATTAATAGAGACCTATTTATATAGGGGACTACACAAAGAAGAATCATAATAGATCAGGTTATCCAGCAAAAAATAGTGTGTTTTCATCCATTGTCCTTGTTACTTTTCATTTTATGGGAAATTCTATGAAGCAATCAAACAACAGAAGGTCCAGAATTCAGACAGGTAAGGTGGGTTTTCACCAGTTTCTAGGGTTCGATTCAAGCCAGTTTTGTTTAAGTAACTATTTACTAATAACCACGAAAGTCACAAATGGCTCTTGATGGAGAAGAAAAATCACCATTTATAAACACAACGGGATTTCTAAACTAGATTGTCAGACGACAACAGAAATAGAATCCTTTGTCAAATTAAAAATTCACAAAGGTAGCATAGTTGGTATATAGGCTGCTGCTTCGTCGCCAAACAGGTAGAAGACTGATGACGTCACCCGTTTCTTCTATCAAAGGATGATTCCAAACCGTCCGTAAAATTTTGTGCATCTCAACTGCCATTCACAAGATCACAGTATGCCAACCTCTAATTCTTTCTTTTATCAGTTTTTGTAACTTACTTACTGAGCCTTTTTTTTTTATTAACAGAAAGAAGATACAAATTGTTCAATACAAACAGGAGGACGGTTCCAAGTAACAAAGTCTCTTTCTGAAAACTTAGAAACCTGAGCTAACGTATGAGCCGCCCGATTTAAACTTCTAGGAATACACATAAACTTAATACTATCAGAAGATCGTTTAAGTTCATAAACACAGTGGATTGGCCAGAACAAGTCCCACCTCCCACGACAAAGATGGATATCCCATCTCCAAAAAGAAAAACCAAAATTCGTCTCCAATTGTTAGCAAAAAGTTGCGCACACACCGAGTATACCACAGGAAACTCTGCCCATGTTGGGGATTAACTCCTGCATCACATTAATGACCACATAAAAAATTTTCCAACGAAGAAATAACAATATGGGGAGTGGATGTCCCGGAAGAATGAGTAGGAGGATTAAGATCATGTGCAATTATTGAGTTATAAGATTTATGAAAACCTGCAGACACCCATAAGGCTCAGTTTGGAACGAGTACAAATATAAATATGTAGAGTGCAAAACCTCATTATTTTGTATGTATTTGCACAGTATATATTTGTATTTGCACTCTTTAAGTTCAGTTTGAAAAAAGTACAAATATAAATTTATAGAGTACAAAACCTTGTATTTTGTGCGGAGGAGCTATTATCTCCGATTTCATTGATGTGAAGCATAGTCATAATTTGGCATCAYAAGACCTCTAATCGGAATTTGACAGCATCTCCAATCTCATGGGCTACGACTTCAATGACAGATTCTTCTTCTTCTACCCATCAACCTAGCAAAGGTGAGAATCATCTTCTAAACAGTTAGACTTTGGTTGGTATTGAGAGTTTTTAAACAGMAAAATGTATTTTCTCTTGGAATGTAGGAACTGGTGATAAGACTAAAAAAAGGAGCATAGTTGGAGCAGATCAAAGCAAGGGTAAAAGCAGCCAAAAAGAATATTTACAGGTTGGTCCAGAGCTGTACAACAACAAAAACTTATGCTAATGGACATTGTAGTCGTTACTCGTTAGAATACGCCATCTATTAGAAAAATGACAAAGCCAGTTTCTGAAGCTTGGTATCAAGGCTTGTGCTTGCAATGGTTTGTCTTATACTCTCAATTAATTACACGGGTAATTCAAATTATTTTTAATTTCATCTATTTGTGTTAATTTGATTATGGTGTTATAAATTTTGATGAAACATTTGTCTTTATGAGATCTATAAGCTCGATGATTGCTTGAAAAGATGCTCAAAGCACAAAGGGGATTTAGATATTAATTACTGCCTACCAGAAACATAGAAGATCCTTGATTAAAGAGCACTTGATCTCCAAAAATTCTACTCATATGCTTCCGTTTACTACAAAGGTGGATTTCGTACCGTTGCCAATCCACTAAAACATTTCCAAGACATGCTAAAGAGACTCTAGAATTGATTAAGGCCATGGGTATGCAATGGACATGGCAAACAAAAGACAGTGAGACAAACTAGAGAGAGAGAGAAGGCTGGCAGATTTGGTTCTCAGTTCTAAGAAGAAAATGAACAGTGTTGTGGAGGGTATTTTAATAAATTTACATCTGGGCAAAATAGGCATTTTAAAAAAACAAGCACATTAAATTGGCTTTTCCACCGAAAAAGGTAGGTAGTTGCATGTTTTTATTAAACAAGCACATTAAGAAGTACAGGGAAGGTTTTTATTAAAGTGAAAACACAGGGGAGGCTTTTATGATTGTCAGAAAATCCAGAGGAGGTTTTTGTATTTTACCCTATTTTCTATGCACTTACATTGTACATCTCCCCATGCATAATAACATGTAAGAGGATGAGATGTTCCCCATGTGTGGCTGTGATGTTATGTAGGTAAGTTGGGCAGACTTGTCCTGGGTAGGAAATCTGGACTCAGAAAGAGCTTGGATCTCCTGCCTACAAAAATCCCACCCACGTCTACTCACAACCCACATGACACTACAGCTATACGCCAGAGTTGTAGGGCTTAAAAGATTCTTTCCCACAACTGGAAAAAAGTGCCAACCCCATATAATTGGGTTGAGGCTTAGAAGATGAGAGACCAAATCAGCCCCCACAACGTCCCACATACATCTCTGTGTCATGTATTGGGAACATCTCCCACAGCATATCTCCGGATGATGTCATCGTCAGGAGATGTTCCCAATAGAGGATGTGCTGTGTGGAACATTGTGGGGGGCTGATTTAAATTCAGATGATGATGATGTACAGGCAGAATGTGGTCTCCATGCTCATAACTCAATCGATTTCCACCCTACTTGAAATGAATATGCTCAACTACAGAAATTGTGTCATGACTCCTTTTAGTTGCACATACAACCCAAAGATTTAAGTGCAACAGTTTCTGATTTTCTGAGGTGGGCCCCACACAGAATCTATAATGAGATAAAGAAAAACGGAGAAGTACACTGCAGCTCACTGCACAATTCTGAAATTACAACCCTTCATAGTCTATTAATAGCCCCTATTTGGCATCAATCCATAGTTAAGATTCATCCCCTTGTACATGAGGTTARGAATTTTGATATGGACTGAACAATCATTCTCCAAAAGAAAAAAGAAAAACTTTTATCACAGACTAGACCCACAGGTACATTGAACATAAGCTTTTTATTCTATGAAGATTCTCCTCATGGTTTTCAAAGCCGGACAGGACTAAATGGTTGGACCCAATGTTCAAAGTATTAGAAACGCAAAGTGTATCAGAAAGGTAATTTTAAGAGACGTATATGATTTATATAAAGTATTGGGATATAATTAATAACCATTGAAAAATAATAGAAGAACTAAAATGTTTGTATATATACTAATATTTATTAGTTAATATTTTTTTAAATCATTTATTAGTTAGTATTTATTATATATAGAATTAGATAATATTTATTATGTATACAAGTTAATATATGAAGATTACTTTAAATATAAAAAAACATGTCTTTCTAATAAGTAATTAATGTTGGCATAATGGTTAATTAATTATTGTTATAAGCAATGACTTGGGTTTGAAACTTGTTACATTTGGTTTGTGATTTGTAACAAGTTATTTCACTTAAATAACATTTAATGACATTATTAATCATTAAATGTTGTAATCAAAGGTAACTTAAAAGAGCATTTAATTAAATTATATTAGCATTTAGTAACGTCTCAAACTTTAAGATTTAATTAAAATTGATATTAATGAGAGAAGAGATAAATTAAATTTAAATTTAAAAAGAAGAGGGAAATTAAATTGATACATAATGCGTATTCTGTTTCGGGTATGTAGCCTATACGGACCTGTATCGGTCCGATACAAAAAAAAAAAAATACGAATCCCTGTAATTAGACATGTCCAGTGTATCGGCTGTATCGGAACTCTTTTGAAACGATACGTATCGGTTCGTACCGACTGATACGTTGCAAAATTTAAAACCTTGGTCGAACCAAAAAAATGAGAACCAGTCAGGGTGACTGGTTTTAGTTTTCCCCAAAACYGGTTTTTCTACAAAAATCATTGGTTTTAGTCAACAAACTGCTGACCCGGACGGTTAACCATTCGAATCGTTTGAACAGTTTTGACCTTTTTTATTTTTTATCAAAACAGGCCAACCATTCGGCCCGATAACCATACCCCTCTCGTTTCGGTCTCTGAGTCGGTTTTAAAAACCATGGTTCTCCAGATCATCCAAGGTCCAACGAGACTCCATCAATCATTTGTCATTTGACATCCAGATCAACACATGCTACACTAAAATATGTATTGAATTTGGGGAAAACAACTAAGCAACATTCAATCACGTACCACGCAAAAAAAAAAAAAAAAGGATTATGTTAGACTAACCAATAAACCTGATCTAAACTTCCAGTGCCAGGGAATTGGTATTCTCTGCAAAGGAATTGATATTCTCTGCAAAAACTGATACGTTGGAGGCAGACTAGCAGTTCAGTCAGCTCGAAAGCAACCAAACCCACAATTCTCTACGCCTTCTTTTGTTTCTCAGTTTTCACATGGCTTCCGCCCACAAGGCCATGATAATTAATGAACAGAACTGATCTCTCATTCCTAAAATATACAATTGAACCGAAAGTTGAGAACCTTCTTTTAACAGATTTGCAACATTAGATATTGAAATGTTCATCAAAATTGACTTCTCATTCTTCAAATCTGCAATTGAACCGAAAGTTGAGAACCTTCTTTTTTAACAGATTTGCAACATAAGACTAGAATGTTCATCCAAATATTCTACATCTAGGGTTGTGTTTGATATCATTGCTGATTCTACATGAAATGTGAGCCACTGTTTAGATTAAAAAAGTCCATTTTTAGTATTAAATGAAGTACCATTTGCCACTTCATATTCAAATTGATGTTTGTATTATAAATGCCAACACCAATCCAATGCTTACATAAACATCCGATATATAAGTTTTCAAAAATATGTATTGATATATTCCGACGTTCTAATGAAAAGAGCAAAATACCAAACAGAACCTAAATCTACAGTTACCGCACCACCAGCCACCACACAGTTATGTGGTGACTGGTGAGGTTGACAAATGAGCGAGATCTTTTTAACTCGAGTGAAATTTTCACATCTACATGTACATGTTTACTAGTTTAACGTAGGATTGGAATCATATTATCATCTTATTGCAAGCAATTCCACTTTTTTCCACCTCATGCAAGGATTAAAAATTTTGAACAATGCCCATGACAGAAATCGATAAAATCGGTCGTTTAAAAAGAGAAATTTACAAGTGGTACTGATGGAATAATAAATCAAAGTTTCAAAAACAACAACAAACACAATCATATCATCGACAAATAGAAAGATTTTGCTTTGAGAATAAAATTAAAGTTACTACCCAAACATATTACTTTAATAGTTCCATGGCATCGATTGTTAAAAAAAAAAATACACAAGTTTAAACTAAAGCATAAATTAAAACAAACACTCCACGCTCTCTCTACCACCTCTTTTCTTTCTTCTAGCATTTAACTTCCTTCAACCCATAAGCCAAGTATAAAAAGGTTGGGTCAGTCGCACCTTCCTTGTAGTATGCAAAGACCATGGTACTGTCGTCGTGCATGCTCTCGCCCACAAAACTGCAACCACAAATGCAATTATTCTCAACCCATAACAATAAGCATATATATATATATATGTTAGCTCACAAGAATTCCAGGAGGGACATACAATTGGAAGTCACTGAGCTTTGAAAGAAGGAACTTTGTTGCTGCCTCAATGTGCTTCTTAAACTGCTCTTGCTTTTCAGCATCTAACTTGGGTGTAAGCAACTTGATGTACCTTTTCACGTATGCAACAAACTGCTTCTTATCAAACGAGGGTTGTTCCTACAAATGATAAAGAAAATACCATTATCTCCTGCAAGAAACTAACAAAACTCACTACCATAGCAAGAGAGGTGTAGGTATGTATGTTACTAACCTGTAGACGGAAAGTATCGACAATGTCAACCACTTTCACGGCTTGGTCATCTACCCCTTCATCGTCCTCCCCGCCTTCAGCCGATGGGTTGGCTCCAATGTCTACATCAATAGATCCTTTGACGACCCACTAACAAAGCCACAACATGGTAAATGTTAATTTTGCTATACAATGTCCACTAAGTCTCTAACAACCTCATCAAAAAAATGGATAAAAGAATAATTTTATTTATATTTACCTCAATCACTCAATGTACAGTTTTCTGTCTGCTATTTCTATTAATAGAGAGTTCACCATTTTGTTTTTATTCTATTTCTTTTATATATATTATATTTAAGCTTTTAACATATCCATCTAAAAATAAACAGATAGAAAAATTATAACAATAGCTTGATAGTTTCAAGTCATAGGTTCTTTTTAGCATCACATGGTAATGCTGGCCGAGAATGACGCAAATCCAGAAATAACTAATAGTCTAATAAAGAATACTAACCTTCCCCTCCACTTCCCAAAGCATTCCATTCTCAATTTCCTTGTAAGGGAATGAGTCTGAGAGAAGCTCATCACCTAGAAAACATGAATACTTGATTAAATTAGAAGTTCGTATAGCAAGGGGGCACAATACTACACAGCAAAGATCAAAGCACAAATCACCAAGGGACATCTAGCAAGGAGTCACAATACTACACAGCAGAAATCACCAAAGGAAATGCGTAAAAGTATGACAATCACAAGCCACGGAATAAGATGCATACAAATATGACATGCAGTAACATGCATGAGGTCCTATCACCTAAAACTCAATAGACAAGTAAATGGTGCCTTGCCTCTTGGAGCCTATTAGTATTTTACAGTACGTACAGAAGGTCCAACCATCTACGACTTGCTAAACTCAATTTGCTTGCATCTTGGAATCCAAGAGGGCATTATTTCAACATCCTTTACTACATAAAGAAATTTTTGGAAACGCATTTATTTATTAATAAAAGGATTACCAAAAGCTTATCTTTTAGTCGAGACAAAAACAAAAACATATCGGCATCTCTCCACCGAGAATGGAGGAAAGAAGCTTGCATGGATGCCCAACCTTAGTAATTGCCAACATAAACAATAGAGTTGGTAGTGATTTTAATATTGGGGACCAGTTCATCTCTGAGTCACAAACAAAAAACAAAGGGGCAGACGCCCAGTCCCAACAAATAAGCCCTCCAAGTCCGAAAACACCTGTCATTCTATAGAAGGAATAAATGAACAAATACACAACCGCAGTCCTGTGTAACAACCAAGAAAAGATATCCTGACCTTCTAAATCAGGGCCACCAAGAGGAAATAGGGCCCAAGCCCCAAGGCATTCATACAGATTTACAAATAAGCTGAAAAGGTATGATACCGAAATAACTTGCATATAAAAAGAGTAAATGACAATTGGCAACAAAGAAGTCTAATCAAGTAGATGACATGTAGAACAATGACAAGCTACGTTTGTTGAATAAATGCCCAAAAATTAAACAAAAAGAGTAAACACCAAGGGCACTTGCAAGATAAATAACATATAAAAATACAGCTAACTAGAAAAAAAAGAATGATCGAACTTGGGATACAGCCAAAAGCTCAATACAATAGAATTTCCAATTCTTCAACAAGACAAAACTTTTGCAGATTAGAGAACAACAGGAAAATTTGAACTTCATTTTTCACGCCTATCAAAATTTCACGACTGAATGACACTTTAAGCAAGAAAATAAATATTGATTTCGTATTTACTGAGGTCTCCCAGTAAGAAAATTTGGTACAGAAGGAAAAAAAATCCCCAAAGTAAACGTAGTCAATCGCCATGAACTTAATGACAACCAGCTGGATTAACAAACAAGAGTAAAACAACTGAAAAGTCAAGATAACCTATGCATCAAAGTAGCTTAAATTGTACGAGACCTTCAAGATCCGATCGAATTGTAAAAACCAGTCCACAGATCCAAAGTTATGACATTCAAAACAGACAAAAGTCAATACAACTATAGATATAGGACCCCATAAAGTGATCCTCAGAGATACAAACAGGATTCAAAATTAATAACTCGAATGTCCTACAGAAAACGGAAGTCCCAAAGGCTATAAACCCTAAAAACTCTGGAACCGAGACATGGCCAAACAGAAACTAAATCAAAACAATACCTGTGAGTAAATCCTGATAGACAAGCATTCTTCCAGACTCTCACGGATCACTGAAAATATCAAATGCGAGAAGAGAACGGGAGAGATGGGCGTGCGTGAGAGAGAGAGGGTTTGGTTGGGTTGGATTGATGCCTATATATAAACGAGGGTTTGGCGACGAGGGATTTGAATAAGAATTCAAGAATTACATAAGCAAGCCTTTAAGTTTTGTTAAATACCCAACAAGTCCTTTTCCGTGTGGAATCCAACTCGTGAGTTAAATCGGTAGTAACGCTGGGCTAAAACCACGAAATCCCAGCCTTCTATTTATTGCTATGTCCCCACCTTACGTCTCCGTATCAATACATCGAGGGCCATGACGCCAAGGGGAATAGTTTATTTTGTGAGACCGGATCTGTTTTCATAGAGCGTACCTCACACCGACCTCACAGGTACATCTCAACATGTATCGGGAATATCTCCCAGATATAATATTATTGATGAATGATGTTCTTAATACACGGGAATATACCTGTGAAGTCGGTATGAGGTGCGAGAAGCATATCCCATTTCTGATTTCTGTGCGTTCTATTGACGCTATGACCTAAAAGAGAGGCAGGTCTACGTAGTACGTACCATTAAAAAAAGCCTACTTCATTATGGACCGTTCGATTGCTTTTGATCTTTGAATCGATGAGTGATGACGATACCGTCTTTTATTGGGATTCCTCCGGTCTCCCAATTTGGCGAGACGCCTGTAACTGTAAATAGATAGGGTTGGATTTGCGGTGTTGACAGGCCACGTGCATTGTATCGGGATCGTGTCTCTCATTCCAAATTTCCAAGACCGACAAACAAAAAAGCTTTGGACCGGGCCGGTAACGGACATGCCAACGAGTCGGGTTCGTGAGGGTTTGTCTAAATCCAATTCCGATCCGGAATAATAACGATCTGATCATCTGAACCTGAATATGACCTTGGTGCGGGTTTAGTACTAAGTAGGGGTGTCAATGGACCGTTAGTCCGTTAGGGTTCGTGCGGGTTTGCCTAAATCCTATTCCGATCCGGAATAATAGCGATCTGAACCTGAATATGACGTTGGTGCGGGTTTAGTACTAAGTAGGGATGTCAATGGACCGTTTTGRATTGGATTCTATCCAAACCAAAATCGAATTATATAGATTGGATGGACCAATAAGACATATTAAATTAGATCAAACCAGTATTTATTGGATTGAATTGGACCTAATCCATTTATAATCAATTTATATTGGACTGAGTTGAATTGAACCCATGTGATCCATTGATAGAAAATAAGAATATATGTATCAATAGACTACGTTTAGGTTAGAATTAATGTTGGAATTGCATAGCGGAAATAATATAATCTGTACGTACATAGAAACAAAATAAAAGTAGATAGCAATAAAGAAAGAAAGAAGAGAGAATATTAGATTTGCATGGTTCGGCCAAAATGCCTACATCCACGGGTAGAAACTCCGAACTTCCTTCTTACTATAAACAGGAGAAAATACAAAGATGGACTTACCAGAATCACACTCGTACCTGACACTCAATACACCCAAACACAATACTCCTCTCAACACACTGTATACACTATACACTGAAATGAAATAGAGTATGTATAAAATAACATGGGGGGACCCCTATTTATACTTGAGTTGAGGGGTATAATGGGGTTTTTTAAAAAAAATCTCCAACGTTAAGTAAACAACAAAATGGTGTGCCACTGAACAGAACGGTGTGCCACCGTTCAATATGGTGAGCTCAGCTCGATGGGCCATCGATTGTAAATTCGGTGAGCCACCGACTGGCCCACCCTTTTTTTTTTTTACTTTTCAACATTCTCCCACTTGAAGACAATTTTCATAGTGAAAAACTTGCTCGAGAATAGTTGTCGATCATCTCTTGCTATGTGGCTTCAAGTCCTGCACCAGATGAACTTCTCTCTCATCACCGACTTTGTCAATATATCAACAACGTTGTTGTTTGTGTGGATCTTTTGTAACGAGATCTACCCATCTTCAACTACCTCACGAACAAAGTGGTATTGTACATCAATGTGTTTAGTCTATGCATGAAAGATAGGATTTCTTGCTAAATGTAAGCGCTTTGACTGTCACAATGAATAGTCACCACTTCTTTCTTGATGTGGAATTCTTCAAGCAACCTCTTTAGCCAAATACTTTCTTTGCATGCTTGTGTAGCTGACATATATTCTGTTTCTGTTGTAAATAAGGCTACTACAGATTGCAATTTTGATGCCCAACTCACTACACCATTAGCTAAAGAAAACACATAACCACTAGTTGATTTTCTATTATCGCAATCTCCTGCATAGTCTACGTCCACATAACCAACTAGTTTTAAGTTTTGGCCACTATAACAAATAGAGATTTCAAAAGTACCCTTCAAATACCGAATGACTCTCTTCACCGCAGTCCAATGGTCTCTTCCTGGATTTTTCGTAAACTTACTGAYTGCTCCCACTGCTTGTGCAATGTCTGGTCTGGTGCACACAATGGCAAACATAAGGCTCCCTACTGTTGATGAATATGGTATGTGGGACATCTCTGTCTTCTCAGCTCCAGTGCTAGGTGATTGTTCCGAAGACAACTTGCAACCAACAAAAAATGGGATATTGACTGGTTTGGAATCTTGCATGTTGAAGCGCCGCAAGACCCTTTGAACATAACTCTTTTGAGTTATCCAGACTTTCATGTTCTTTCTGTCCCTATATACCGTCATCCCAAAAATCTGATTAATCGCCCCCAAATCCTTCATGTCAAACTCCTTAGCTAAACGAGCTTTCAGTGTTGAGATACTTCATTTATCAGTACCTGTAACTAGCATGTCATCAACATATAACAACAAAATGATGAAGTGATCACTACCAAAGTATGTGTAGGCACAATGATCTGCTTTACATTTGCTAAAGCCCAAACTCACAATGAAGGAATCAAATCGCTTATACCAACACCTTGGCGCCTGTTTTAAACTGTAAAATGATTTGGTCAGCTGACAAACCAGATCATTTTTGTCGTTCTCGACAAAGCCTTCAGGTTGAGTCATATAAATCTCTTCTTCAAGATTACCATGCAAGAATGTTGTTTTAACATCTAATTGCTCCAGCTCCAAGTCAATTACTGCAGCCATACTCAATAGAATACGAATAGTACTTAATCGAACATCAAGAGAAAATATTTCGTTGAAGTCGATACCTGATCTCTGAGCATATCCTTTTACAACTATTCGAGCTTTGTATCTTTCGATATTCCCACTAGTATCATTTTTGAGTTTGTACGCCCATTTACAACCAATGGCTTTTCGATTCTTAGGTAGTTTGACTAAGTCTCAAGTTTTATTTTTCTTCAGAGCTTCCATTTCTTCCTCCATTACCATTTGCCAATGACGAGCATTTGGACATTTGCATGCTTCCTGGTATGAACAAGGCTCATGCTCTTCTGTAATGCAAGCATAAGCTGTTACATAATCTTGAAGCCAGACATGAGGTCTTGTAGCTCTCCTTGATCGACCTTGATCATCGTGAGTCTCTCCTTCAAAATTTTCAATGTGCTCTTCAGGTACATCAACAGTTGTATCAATTTATTGCTTTTGAATCTTTTGAAAAGATTCCACTTCAACTTTCTCTATTGTCTTAGAGCTTGATTCTTTCTGCATCGAATCTTCATTGAAGACAACATCTCGGCTAACAACTATCTTGTGGGCAGTAGGATCCCATAATCTGTATCCCTTTGTACCTTCTGCATAGCCAAGAAAATACACTTTTTGGACCTTACCTCTCTAGCTTGGTCCTTTGCTCCTTAGGAATCCAAACATAAGCATCACAACCAAAAGTATGTAGGAAAGAATAATCAACAGGGTTTCCTGACCATACCTCTTYTGGAATTTTGCAATCAAGTGCCGTAGTGGGAAAGCGATTTACTAGGTAACATGTCGTATTGACTGCTTCTGCCCAAAAGTACTGCTCCAGCCCAGCTGCATCTCAACATGCTTCTAGCTCGATCCATAAGTGTATGATTCATCCGTTCAACAACTCCATTTTGTTGTGGAGTTCGTGGAACCATATACTGTCTCAGAATGCTGTGCTCATTGCAAAATCCTTCAAATTCTTTTGAGGTATATTCTTTCCCATTGTCAGTTCTCAGACACTTAATTCTTTTCCCCTTTTGATTTTCAACTAGAGCATTGAACTTCTTGAAATAGGAAAAAGTATCACTCTTCCATTGGAGTAAATATACCCATACTTTCCTTAAGTCCGTGTTTGCTCATATGACCCAAACGTCTATGTCAAATCATGACAGAATCGGTCACAACATTTGCAACGATGGCATCGCCGACCATGGTATCCCCAATCAAGTGGTATACTTCCCTTGTATTTTGCCTTTTGCAATTACCATAGCTCATTTACTGATCTTCAATTGGCCCTTTTCTCCAAAAAACTTGTAACTATCTTCATCAAACTTTCCCAGTGACAGGAGACTCTTTCGCAGTTCAGGAACATACCGTACACCAGAGATTGTACGAGTGATGCCGTCAAACATAGTAATTCTAACGTTTTCAATTCCCACTATTTTGCATGTGCTATTATTGCCCATATAAATAGTCCCACCATTGCACAATTGGTATGTGTAGAACCAATCTCTGCATGGCGTCATATGGAAAGAAGCACCAGAATCTAATATCCAGTTATGCTTTAAATTTTCACAAGAATCAATAGATAGTACCTCACCATCTTCTGATGAATCACTTCCTTATGCGATGTTTCCTTGGGAATTATTTGAAGCCGGATCTTTGTTAGAGTTGGGCCGATTTTGCTCTGCTTTGGGTTGCCAACAATCTTTTCGAAGGTGCCCCTTCTTACCACAATTCCAACACTTGAGTCATTTCTTGTTGCCTCTTGACTTGGATCTCGTTTGATTTTTTATAGAGTCATTTCTCTCATTCGATTTCCCTCATACCATCATTGCATCACCTGAAGAATTCTCACCAACTTTTTTACGAGATTCTTCCATAAGCAACATAGAAATAGTAGATTCTAATGACAGATCTTTAGTATTGCTCAAATTCATTATCAAACTATCYCAAGAGTCTG